CATGCTCTATGAACATTGTCTTCAAAGCATTTTAATTAAACTTTTGTGAATAAACTGTTCTTGAGGGACCAGGCTTCTAATATCACACTTGTGATCCTATGCAGGAAAAAGTATAAAAACACTGCACCAAAACTTTGACAGTAAAGAGATGAAAGTAGGAATGATGAAATGAAATATAGGAAAAGATAAAAAGAAAAGTTTCTGTGCCTTACAGGAAGTTTTTCTAAGAAAACTCTACAGTGAGAAAGAAGGGAGGCAGGATTGAAACCAGATGATACTTTGGGATCAATAAACGCAATAGCAGGAGTTTACAAAGAGACGTAGATATTACCCAAAGATAAAAGTGTTATCAAAGAAGAACTGTCACAGATAAAGCCTACGTCACAAGCCAACAAAGATTTGAGAGGAATATTACATTACAATATCATGTCCATTGTATCCAAAGGAACACAACAGAAAATACTTTATCCACTTCAAGTAGACACAACAGTCATGGGGAGACATGACAGCTGGCTCAGAACAGAAGCTAGTGTGCAGTGCTTAGCGTCTATGCCACATTAATTCATATGTGTTCCTCCTGGATATGGCAGCCGTCACAGTCATTTAGGAGAGATTTATCTTTGTCCCTCTCATGGGCAGCCCTGTGACATTTCCATTTGTCACATGACAGCAAATCACCAGGCCAATGCGTGGGCTGTGACGTTTTGCAACAGGGGACTGATGGCAAAGAAACCAATGTGCAGCATTAAGTGTTCTCAACCCAAACAGAAGATGATAGGGGAGGATGTGTGCATGAATGTTTTATGGAATTCTAGGGAAGATGGACGGATTGATGGTTGGATGCATGAGTAGATGGATGGATGGATGGGAGAAGAAGTGAGAAGCTAAGAGCTATAGAGGTGAGGAAATTATGGGAGGGGCAATAGAGCAGATGAGTGACACATGACTAAAGGACAGTCACTTGTGGTGTGTATGCGGCAGCGGGGTACTGTTCAGCCAAGGATAACTGATTGCATTTAAAATGAAAAATTAACTACGGGAGTGTTCAAAAGGAACCAGCTACTGACAGACCTTAATGAGTGAGGCTGTGACTAGAAAGCTCATACATAAGCCACGTTTCCACCAAAAGACCTCTTTTTAAGGAACTAAAAGGTTCCTTCAGCCTATTGTTGTGTGCGTTTCCACCGTGGACTAAAGACCTGCGAAGATTAGGCAAATTAACCAGTTGACGTAGGCTGTTGGCCTATACTCCGTACAAAGCGATGGACTGGACATCATTATTTAGTGACCACTATCCATGAGCAAAATTCATAAATGAACATCAGATTTAAAAGGAAAATAATGAAAAACTAGCTTTGCTTGACCATTAAAAACAGCCTTTTTGTGTGGGAGTACAATGAAGAGATCTGTTGAACACTGACGCCTCCGGTAACAAACTGGATAAAGCCATCAAGTTCATAAAACAACTTCAGCACAGAGAAAGAAACACAAACATAAAATTGCGGCAGTTTGGAAGGTTATTAAAACGTTTACAGCCAACAAGAGCTGCAGATCAGCTGCAGCACTCACGTCTGTGTCCTCCTGAGTGTCGGGATTTTTAACGAGATTTATCACCTGTTGTAATCAGCTGTTCCGCTTGTTCTGGAGAAGAGGAGACTTCGGCTCCATGTAAAAACTTTCTGTATAACTTTGGACCCAGTATTAAACGTAACTCCATCAGCTGTTAGCTGTAAACACACCGCTGCATACTGGCTGCTATTCCTGAGCAATACATTTAATGCTGACGCACGATCTCAGGCGGACATCAGCGAGACTTGTGTGACTATTTGACTGTTGATTGTGATTTACTGGTTTGCAAACAAAGGTGGAAAACAAGAACAGTAGAAAAAGAACAGACGACAACCTCGATTTAAACCCCGTAGCCTCAACTCACCCATACAGAAATTCACTGAAAGGCAAGCCCCACCCCAAGTACGGGTACTTTCGGAAAGTACAACCCTGGTAAAATAAAGACCCTAGAACTAAATTTAGACCCTGGTGCATGCAGTGGAAATTTTGGAATTTTGAGTGTGTTCCTCCAAAGATTCCTAGTTCCAGGGTATAGTTCCTGTATACTGTACTAATGTACACTCACACACCTAATGCTGGCGCTGCATCCAAATGGGTATATAATGATGTGGACTAGGTTGTACCAGTCATTCATAAACCCATTTGTGTGTAAAGTCGCTTGTAAGTTCTCAGTAACTACTAGCTAGTTTCTAGCTGGTGGTATTTATTAAATCAGGTTGCACCATTAAAGCTTATTTAAGCAATATTTTAGAAGTATAGGCTACATGTCCATAATATATAAAACTACAGCCAGCTGTCAGTTATATTAGCGTAGCATAAAAAGGCAATGGGGAAACAACTCGCCTAAAACATTTGAGATCCTTCTGTTTCTGTGGCTGTTACCTTCAACATCTCAATTTTGGGATGTGTTGCAGAGCTACAGTATGTACATGTCATGGTTGTAATTTCAATAGCTTGCTCATTTCTGAATATATTGACATCAAACCACCTGTCGAGTGTCTTGGACATCCTCCCACAACTTCAAAATTAATTTGTCTCTAAAAAACCCTTTTGCAAATCCTTTAACACCATAATATGTGAACTATTGCCTAAAATATGTTTAGCTTACAACCTTGAAATGTGTGTGGTTGGGTAATAGGTGACTGGAAAGCTGTTTGGGAAAAAGCCCTTAGCAAATCTATTAACACAGTTATCAGTCACCTATTACCCAACTACACACATTTCAAGGTTGTAATTTCAATTGCTAAACATATTTTAGGCAATAGGTCACCCATAATGGTGTTAAGGTATTTCCTAAGGGCTTTTTCAGAAATTAACAGCTGTGAAAGTTGTGGAAGGGTGTCCAAGACAAATGAGATGTGGTTTGATGTCAATATATTCAGAAATGAGCAAGCTATGGGATTTACAACCTTTAAATGTGCATAATTAAAGATATGGGTAATTGATAACCATGATTTTTGGATTTAAAAAAATGTAAACTTTATTTTACAAATATTGAGGGCTGTGTTTCTGATGCCTATGTTTAAAAAACGAAAAAGTTATTCAAGATTCAGATCCGGTCGTATTGCACTTTTGCAACGGTCCCTAACTATGCCTGTGTTGGACAGTTAACTGTGCTCAACTGCATCGTTATCTCTGGTCATTTCAAAACTGTCAAACATCTGCCTAAATTAGCTCTCCAACATATCCCAAAACTGGGAGACAGGGCTTTGACATGAAGCTAGTGAAGGTAACAGTCATTCACTCCGGTTCACAAATCCTATTATGTTGTTTTTTTATAACCTATACAAAAACCAATGGGACTTAAAAAACTTCAATGTTAACATCTTTATTAAACAGCATTTTAATCAAGTGTGGGACAGTTGTGTTGACAAAATCCCATTTTCTCTTTTACTCCTCACTCCTGGTCCAGAAGGGTTTGAGGAACCAGCAGATGCCAGTTGTGTCTCAGCCAGGCTCATCAGCCAATTTGGCATGTTTATACCTGGCCATTTGGATTTAACCTCAGCCACCACCAAACTAGTATATGAAGCATCTATGCTTATATATGAATATGGGACTGGCAGATAAATAGTCAGATGGCAAGGTAATATAAAAAGTGAGCTAGCTAATAAACAAGTTAGAGGAATGGACAGGTAGACAGGATTTCGTGGGCATTTAAGCAGTGAGAGAAATAAAAAGGAAAACAAACCTAATCACAGGCAGGTAGGCAGAGGCAGGCATGTGGATCCTGACTAACTCTGACTTGTCTGCCACTCCAACAGTCCTGCCTGCAATTATTCATTCGCCCCCTGGCTCACAGATTAGACATTTGCATCCTCGCCCTCAGGTGCTTCACAGACGTCTCCATTTGTCTCTCTCACTGTCAGGGACTGTGAGAGCTCTCTGGTTTGTATGATTCCTCAAGTTGGATGCACATCTGATCATGTTCGATACACAGTGCTCCTCATCGTTATCATTAGGGTAAAAATTATTGTTATTCAAGAATATATTGCCATCAGAGTGACTACAGTGAGTTTAATGATGCAGTAAATTACCCAGGATAGCAACATATTGGCTTGTTAGTGACCAGTTAACATTAGTAGACAGTACTGGGGAATACAGGCTGGGAAAGCAATAGGCTGCAGCGCCTGCACTGGAATCTCATTAAGTTGTATACCCTCAAGGCCTTCTCACATACACTGGAACTCCTACCATAATTAGTGATATTGGTCATGTCTTTCGTGTTGTGATTGACTGCAGTGTTTGTGGATAAATCATCACCATCATCATCATCACCACCATCACCATTATCAATACCAGGATTCTGCGCCTGGTTATTTTTTCCCCCAGTAATCATCAGCAGCAAAATCAAGTGCAACACATTTCCAGTGGCCAAAATGTAGACAAGAGCAGCTCTTGACGCGAGGGATGGAAAAGTAAAATCATCAGTCACAAGCTACAGTAGGGGGAAAAAGGACAAGAATGCATTTTCAATAAACTTTTATGAAAAGTAGTCCAAAATAGTCCCTTTATCTCGTATGGGAGCCGCACAAGTATTTTAAGGAAGTGAAGATGGAGATAGGAGACAGAGCTGAGAGGACACTAATTCAGATGATGACACTGATGCAAGGGAACGGAGTTGGAGGTGAGGAGGGAGAGGGCATGAGGGAACAAGACAGAGGAGAGCTTCAAAGCCCAGAAGGAGGTGCGGTGTCAGTGTTAATTGGTGGAGAAAGAGGTAGATGGAGATTAAGGGCAAGAAGAATAAGACCGTGCGGGAGGAGGAGAATGAGCGGAAGATAAAGAAGTGATATGGCTGGATCAAACTGGATGCTAATGTATGTGTGTGTGTGTTTGTGTGTGTGTGTGTGGAGGTGCAGGGGCAGTGGGGAAAAAAAGGGAAGAGATGCAGCGCAAATGAGAGTGGCAAAAACAGAGAGGGAGGGAGGGGGGTGCACAGAGGCTGTGTGTGGAGATGAATACAGCTGTGCAGAGACCCAGAGGGAGATGCAGAGACGGTAAAACATCCAACAGGAGCCCACACTCCAGGAGCAAATAACACAAGCAACTGCTAGACGGTAGATGGAAGAAAACTGGGATATAATCATAGATAACCGAGGAAGAAGACCAGTCTCAGCCTCTCACAGCATTTGAGGCGGAAGAGTGGGGGGCAGGAACAAAAGAAAGCGTGGAAAGAGAAGAGGAGTGACCTGAGGTGGGAAAAGAAAAGCAGAAGACTGAAACAGGTAGGAGAAAGAGAGAAACACGCGATGACTCCAAACATGAAGAAAACTGTGTGTATGTTGAAGAAATACTTACAGTATAAATAGATGAATTGTAAAGCCAAATATCTCTTTGGAGAAAAATGAAAAGAAAGGAAAAGAAAGAGATATTCTATCAACTAATATGTTATTCTGTAGTTAGACAAAGTGTGGCTTAAGGGAAAGAGGTGACGGGGGAAGTGTGGACTCAAAGAGGAATGAGTGGAGGAAGGGAGCAAAACAATGCAAATAATCAACTGAGCCTTAAGCTGCAGCACTGTAAACAAGAAAAAGAATGAGAACTGAGAAATATGGTGGCATGCGTAGAAAAACAAGTAGGTTCTAATAACATTCTACAACTCTTTCATTTTGGCCGACAGAAAAGGAAATGAATGGTGTTCATGCGCATCATGATTTATAACGGCAGTGCCATGTAAATAATACATGGAATATTTAATGGAAAATGCTTTTCTGAGGTTTTGGCAATATGTCAATATAATGTTTACAAACATTGCCTGGTGTATAGCTGCAAACACAAACACACGCAAGAGTGATTAAGATTATTTGGATGGAAGTTAAGAAGGGAAGGAGGGCTGAAGTCTATTACTGACTGAGGTTAATCTTCAAGAGGAGGAAGGAGGGAAGTGATGGCAAATAACAACTAGACAGCGGGGGGGATCCTCAATGAGTTAGACAGGATTTTTTACGTGGCTTTGTGAATAAACCATGAGGTCGTAGCCACATCAATCAGCAGGCGACTGTGTACAACACAGAAACACATAAATGCAAGAATGTCAATATGCAGGTGCACCCATGTAGCCTTATCTAGACACTGCCTTTATCTCTTTCTGTGTTCTTAGAGCCGAATGGAGCAGCAACTAATATATTCATGGAACAGGGAGGCGGAGATCAATACAAGTTTCCCCTGCGTTTTACAAGTTTGAGGGCAGGGAGGAGACAGTTTATTACATCAAAGGGTGAGAATGGCTGCTGTGGGCACATCTCCCCCTGAGGTGTGTGATCAATTTGGTCAGGTGCTGCCACCCTATGGTGAAACAGTGTTATCCCATAAAATGTAAATGTGTAGGAGAATGATTTGTGGTTCAGCGGTTTAAGTGTTCCTGTTTTGGTTTGTCACATCTCCCTGAGCACAGTTGCTGACCTCTGCCTGCTGATCCGCCATGTCTGTCCAGCTGCACGTGCTACTGACCCTCTGCATGACCTTCACACAGGGGTGAGAGACCCGCTGTCAGATGCTGATGCTGATATTCATATTGATTGGAAGCGCAATCCCTTAGCTTGTGCTCTGCACTGACTTTTATGGTCCAATTCCCATCTCTGTGTCATCTCTTTTCATTGTTTGCAGTAGTTGTATGTATCCTAACCACCACTGGGGGGAATGGAACGACTCACAGCTTCTGCCAACAATTCAGAAGCTGATGAAAGGATACAACCGCTACCTCAGACCTAATTTCAATGGTAGGAATGATTGTTTCAGTTGAAATTGACTGTTAGAAGAGGCTGCTCTACAGCGGTCGTTTGTGTACGTGTCTATCCCCTAATTGAAAACAGACTTATTTCCCCAATCTTCCTGTGATCTGTCTTTGACAGAGGGCCCTGTGGAAATTGGAATGAGTCTTGACATCGCCAGCATTGACGCCATCTCAGAAATCAATATGGTACACCACTCTCCTTACTATTTTTTTGGCAGTGGCTGAATGAATTTAGAATGGAAGAATTGAAGCTTTATCTTCTATATGTCAACTTTTTAGGACTACACTGCAACTATCTTCCTCCGTCAGCGGTGGCGTGATTCCCGGTTGGTGTTCCCGGGCAATGAGAGTGTCAGCGTGGACGGACGCCTTGTGTCACTGCTCTGGATCCCTGACACCTTCATCCCCGACTCCAAGCGTTCCTTCTTGCATGATGTCACGGTGGAAAACCGCCTCATCCGCATCTTCAGCAATGGAACCGTTCTCTACGCCCTCCGGTACATATTTGGTGAAATGTTTAGGTTGTTTTTCTATTTTTTTTTTCTTAACTTCAAGCTGTTTTCATGATTGTCGTGGTAATCAACCGTTAATTGGCCTAAGGTTATACTAAAAAAAGAAAGCATGTATGTATCATCACTTAGTCATGTAACTTACGAGAATGCCACCAAATTTCTGTATTTCTCCTGCCCTTCAAATAGTTCAAATTCTGTTAATGAAGATTCGTAGTCCCCTACGGCCACAGTAAAAGTGTTTCCTGATGTCTAATCTACCATGTCACACTGATGCAGAACGTTATTATGACCAGACAGGTTTGTTAGTGACAGATAGGGCAGCATTGCACGGGGTAGTCTGGGTATTACTAATTTATTATTAGGAACACATTTTGATTCATGACTGTTGACATTGCATATACGTTGTATGGTAGAGCCATGTTGTCCATATCTGTGTTTGTCAATGAAAAATCTGCCATGTGCCTTGGTTTTCATATTAAAATTTGCATATTTTGCTATAGCTAGGCCCCATATACAGAATGGGACACTTTAATGTCCTTAGCAATAGCAGCATTGTTAAAACCTATTCTATTTCTAATGCTCAGAGACTGTCACTGAATTCCAATATAATATAATATAATATATATATATATAAATTCCATAATTCCAATATGTCAGCCACTTCTACATAATAAATGCATCAAATACAGTGGTCTTTTATTCTTTTGATAGATTCTCAGGGGGAGAGTTCTTTGTTTATTCATTATTAATTGCCTTGTCCTACATCAAAACCTTAACAACGTTTCATGCGGGAGTTTTCGTACGGTTCTAATGATCTTGCTATGAATTCACAACAGCATCACAGCTACGATTGCCTGCAACATGGACCTGACTAAGTACCCCATGGACAGACAAGTGTGCACCCTGCAGCTGGAGAGCTGTGAGTAACCCCTCCCCCTCCCCTCCACCATCAAACATCCAAATCATCATCATCACCATCATCATCAGTGTAGTGAGTACAACTAACTGAAGAGACAATGTTGTCTTAAGCAGGTTGTATTCATCAAACCTTAATTGCGTGATTGTGAATGTGTGTGTGATCAGGGGGCTACAACCTGCAGGACGTGGTGTTCTACTGGACCAGAGGGAATGACTCAGTGAAAGGTCTAGACACACTGCGGTTGGCCCAGTACAGTGTAGAGAGCTACTACACCTCAGTGTCAGAGGCTGTGTATGAGACAGGTAAGACACTTCAGCTCCCAGAATTCCCCTTCCCTTGTGCAGTAGTAAAGGGGAAACTTCTTGTCGAGCACAAATACAACACATTGTCTTTAGGATCTTTTTTTGTGCCTCTTCACAGGACAATACCCCAAGCTGGTGTTGCATTTTGCACTGCGCAGAAATGTGTTGTTCTTTATCTTGGAGACGTATGTTCCCTCCATTCTGCTGGTGGTTCTCTCCTGGGTCTCTTTCTGGATCAGCCAATCCTCTGTCCCCGCTAGGACCTGTATTGGTCAGTATCATATGTCTAACTGCATTTGTTAAAGCATTATGATGTTGGTACATTTCAGTGCATCCACTTAAATTAAAAATTTTAATTATTATAAAAATTCATCATTATATATTGATTCCATGTATGACCTTATACTTTTTAAAATACCATCTCACCAACATCATATGGTATATATATAATATAAAACCCCTTTTTCATTTAAAATTGCATGTTTATACTGGTTAAAGTTTATGTGAAACACATTTTGCGTTTTGGTGGTGTTTTCACTTCAGGACAATAGGAAGACCTGCAGTAGTCAGCTGTGCATTACAACTGCCCTGCTGTATCTATAAAAATATAAATATCAGTATATCATCATTGCTTTAGCACCAGTGAAACACATATTTTGATCCTTAGCTATATGGTTGACTGAGGTCAGTACCCAATGAGATCAGACAAGAGCAAACGTTAAGAAAAAACAGCCAATGAAGGGAAGAAGGACTGATGAAGGGCTGGACTGACACACATTTTTACACTTTAATTCATTACCGATACATGGATTATTGATTCAACCCCTATCATGCATTATGAACACAGCAACACTGTGATCTGCTTTCCAGGCGTGACAACAGTCCTGACAATGACAACACTGATGATGGGCGCCCGCACTTCCCTGCCAAACGCCAACTGCTTCATCAAGGCCATAGACGTTTACCTGGGAATCTGCTTCACCTTCATCTTTGGTGCACTGCTGGAGTATGCCTGTGCCCACTTCTGTACCATGCAGCACCACACCTTAGAGGATTTTCACAGGGTGAGGAACATGTTAGTATCATAAATATAGGCTAAGTAGTGTTTTAAAAACACGTTAGATAATGAAAACATCTGTCTATCTATCTATCTATCAGGATCTCCTGAGGGAGTTCAATGAATCCAATGGAAATGGTTCTATCCCCATCGCCAGCTCCACCCAACCAAACCAGTCTGTGGAGATTGGCTCCACTGCAGAGGAGCCCACAGAGCAGTCAGCGAACAGTGACACTCGGAACAATGATGGAACGAAAGAGAAGACGCCTGGGCAGGGCTGCGGCCTGTCTTCAGTGAAGGATGCGTCGCGTAGGGCAGCATCCGTCTTCCATGTGGAAAATCCACACAACATTGATCGCCACGCTCGCACTGTTTTCCCCACTGCGTTCCTTTTCGTTAATATCCTCTACTGGCTTTATTACCTCTTTCTCTGAGAGCCCGTTCCAAACTGCTGCATTAATTCACCATCCTGAAGCTGCTCTACCTCTTCAATTGAGACCCAATACCAGTTGCCACTGCCTGGATCTATACTGATCATAGAACCATTTTGTATCACATATAAGAAACCTTGTTGTCCCACAGACAGGGCGACAAAGTTATGAAAAGCAGTGGAATTTCCTCTTTGTATCACACTCTGAATTATAAGCTAGTATTGATCACATATGAATGGATTGCTACTAACATATTAACAATTAGGATTGCATTAACTAGCTGTAAACAATAGGCTGCCTGAACTGCATCACACTATACTGTGCTGCTCTGAATTGCCTTCATTTAGTGACTGATGTAGATGTAGATTTTGTTTTCTTGTTTTGGCTTTCATACATTGTTTGTATGAGACCATTTACTGTATATTTACTTCACAGCATATCATGTGAAATTAAAAGAATAAATCAGTTACTGAGAATTCATTTTAATGAGGAATAAATTCAGTGTCTGCATTGTAACAAATGATTAAATGTTTGAGAATAAGACACACATTTATTATTCCCTTATCCAGGTAGGAGAACAGTAAAGTGCAAAAGTCAACCACAGGTTCAGCAGAACAGTTGTTAAAATGACATATAGTGGAGATTTCCCCCACTCAGAAAGAGATTGGTTTGTATCACTGAATAGCACCACCTTGTCACTCGTTCAGTTCTCTCTAGCAGGACTAGTTAACTACTTTATTTGCATGCGTGCCAAAGAGGGTCAAGTGGATGTAGGATCCAACCAAATGATTCAGCAGATGCCAGATAGCACAACTTCAACCTCAGAGGAGAAGCTAATAAGTGCAGTCAATAAATGATAATACACTCCATGGCACATAGCAAGTAAATTAGGCACGTCTTGTGGCGATATTGAGAAATGAATCATTGAATGGTATAAAAGTATAAAACAGAACAAAACAGTAGTCATGGCTCACTCTGTACAGGCAGAATAAAACACCATTATATTTTATAAAAGTAACATCACGGCTTGAACTGCCTCCATCCTATTTTTCAAACACATCCCATTTCTCACATGACACCTTAGCAATCAAACATTCCACCATATGCAACACCGGATGAGAATGCAATCCTGCGTTGCCTTTCCATTACAACACTTGTTGTGCTTTCCAGTACACTTTTTCTTGCGTCTTTTCTTTCATAAACTCTGCTCTCTCTGTTTTCCGTTTACCACATTTGAATCTGTGTCACCAAAGACAATAAAAAATACTTGGATACAGAGAGTGAGCAGTTGTTGGATTCCTCACATATGGAGTAGTCCTTTTAGGAAGGCAGAAAAGTAAATATTCAGTGAGATGTACCTCCACCTAGTGGCAATGTTCTTTCATAACAGTTTATTTCCTCTAATCCAAAATGAAGCAAGGCTGTGCTTTGGGTTGCAGATGGAAGGTTATCCTTAGTAGGACTGAATGTCACGATAGTCGGATCCTGACATCCATACATTCTATCTCCAGTCCTGTCCATGGCACTGCTCTTAGGTTCCTTTCTTTGACTCCCATTCCTGTACAAACAGAAAACGTATAGGTGATTTAGTAACAACGTGAAAATAAGGTCACGTTTCCAGATTACAGTTTTTCGCGTGCATTTCTCACATCACTATTAACATTTGCACAACAGTTAGTTCACCCTCCACAACATTTAGTCATTTGTGCACATCATAGTAGCAGTTTCTCATTCCTTCCAACAAATTGCAAATGCTTTTGGACATGCATCAATTGCTTTCATACAACTCTCTGCTGTTTTATAACATTATCATTTGCTTATGTCATGTCAGTCAAAATGAACTATACTTGTGAATGCTGAATAGTCATTCCATATAAAACTAATAGTCCTCATTTCATTGCTTGAATCATTACATACAAAAATGTTGAACTAGTTGTCAAAATTTGTCAAGCAAATTTTACACATTTTTTAAAATCTTTTTTTTCCTGAACAATTTCTTTCAGGTGAACCTCAGCTTTCACTGATGAGAAGGGGCGTGTGAAGCATTAGTTGCAACCGATGATAAGCCACTTCTCTACAATCACTCAGAGCTGAATCCCATAAACCCCCACTTTACAAGCATATATGAACAAAGCAGGACATAGTGTGTACCATTTCTACCCCCTCGTGGAAGAGGGGTGAGGGTGCGGGGAGGAAGGGGAAGAGGAAGAAGAGGCCAAGTACATAGGCGGATTCCTGATGAAATCAGGGCTATAATTGTGGATCATGTTGTCAATCATGGCCTCACAATGGCTGAGGCTGGTCGAAGGGTGCAGCCAAATGTTGGGAGAACTAAACTAAACTAAACTGTTTACTTTGTGTAGTGTCATGCACTACACTTACATGACAGTTCTGTGTATGTGTATTCACAGTGCATACTGTACAATATGTTGTCCAAAATGCATTATGTTACACAGGAAAAGTTGTTATAGTTTTTCTCGCTCCCTCTTCTGTAATAAAGCATGTACTGAAGCTGGAGGCCAGCGAACCGCTGCACACATTCATATACCTTGATGAGGCGGGTTTCAATCTGGCAAAAGGTAGAAGATGTGGCAGGAATTGCATTGGACAGAGAGCAACCATTGATGTCCCTGGCCAACGAGGAGGGAATATTACTATGTGTGCAGCCATCTCAGAAAACGGCGTCCTCACCCATATCCCCAGTCTTGGTCCATACAACACACAACATCTGCTGACTTTTTTTAGACACTCTTTACAGGGACATAATCCCTGAGAATGAGAGAGGTCTAACTGGAGACCATCTGAACAAGCATGTTGTTGTTTGGGATAATGTGCGTTTTCACCACTCAGATGTCGTCAGACAGTGGTTTGCAGCACATGATAGGATACTGGTGGAATATCTCCCTCTCTACTCACCATTCCTAAATCCAATAGAGGAGTTTTTCTCTTCCTGGAGTTGGAAGGTATATGACCGGCATCCAATACACAAATGGCCCTGCTAGAGGCCATGGATGTAGCATGTGATGACATCACAGCAGAGTCCTGCAGAGGGTGGATTCTCCACTCGAGGAGATACTTTCCTCTCTGCATTGCAAGAGATGATATTCGCTGTGATGTAGATGAAACTATGTGGCCGGACAGAGAGGAACGTCTGGATGTCCATGAATGATTTACAGTACTATGTATGTTGTATGTTCAGTTCCAATATGTACTGCAATATTGTTTACAGTTGTGCACAGCTCTACCCAAAGGGAGTTTATATTTGTTGTAAATAAGGGTGTGTTTTTTCTTTTGCACAATGCTGTGAACAAATTAGAATTGCAAAGATCATATGCAGTAAAAACATGAAACATACATATTCAGTGTCTTGTACTCAGTTACCTAACTAAATACAATAATGTGTAACTTTACTATAGTTTTCAAATGGCTGTGCAAATAGTATATAGTGCTGTCTTGAGCATTTTCAGGTAGTGTCACCAAGATCTGACTTTTTTGCAATGGAAAACACTACACTGTCATAATGAAAACATGACAAAGCCATTTGACTATCTTGTTCATAAACAATGGTGTCAGGACTTTTTTTTATCTTGATGACACTGACACTTTCAGTGACATGAATACTTGCTTTTGAGGAATGACCTATATAACCCATTTTGAGCAAGTGACACGCTTTTGCAGGTTATCAACTAGGTTTTGCAGTTTGTACTAACTGTTTTGAGAACTGCATTAACTGTTGTGCAAATGTAAATAGTGATGTGAGAAATGCACCAAAGCGACTGAGAAAAACTGTGTTACTGTAACTGTGAAAAGCCATTTGATGATGACACAGGACCTGAACTCTGAGAATGAGGGAATCAGTTAGTTAATTGGTTAGTTAGAGTTTTTACCTTTGCCTTCTGCATGACAGTTCCTGCAGAAGAAGCATAAACAGATGGAGGTCTCCTACGCATCTCTAAGGCACAGTTCACTGGTAAAGACTCACAGTAGATATTCTGTGTCTTTTTGCTGGAGCCCTACATAGAAAGAAAAAGTAAATAAAAAAATGTGTATGCAGGCAGATATTTACTTGTGCAGCCTTCTACATACAAGCAACAAATATACCTTAACAGGGGGTTTAGTCTCAACAGGTGCACCCAGTGCTCCGCCAGCCAGGCTCTTCTTGAGGTTTTCTTGGACCTGAGTCAGCCGGAGCTCCAAGTCCACCCTCTCCGCCTCTTTACCTCGACAGGCGTCCTCCAGCTGGGACACACGCTTGTTCAGGGAGGATTTCCTCCTCTCTGCTCCACAGAAACACAGATGGTGTTAAAATTCAGCATAACTCTCAAAACAAAGTACAGTTATTTAAGTACTGTCCTTACTGGAGTACTTTTACTTGACTTGTGTGTTTTCTTCTTATGCTGCTTTATACGAATATTGTACCTTTTACTCTACTACAGATAAATATAATATTCTTATAGATTAAACAACCCAAAAGTAGTTGATGCCTGATTCTGATCTACTTGAGTACTTTTACTTATTTTATACAATCTAGTAGGGCGGCACGGTGTTGCAGTGGTTAACACTGTCGCCTCACAGCAAGAAGGTCGTGAGTGGTTGTTTGTCTATGTGTGGCCTTGCCCAGGGTGTACCCCGCCTTTCGCCCAATGTCAGCAACCCTGTACACAGGATAAGCGGTTGACGATGGATAGATACAATCTAGTATGTTCTGGTAAAAAAAATAAATCTGAATACTTCTTCCACCACTGCTGGCAGCATACAGTACTATGTGAAACTACAGGAAATTAATTACATTTTGAAGGAATTATCATAAACATGTTTTTAGTTAAATAATAAAAGCAATTAGATTTTTTAATTATCCCTGTAGGGTAATTCTTTTCTCACATGGCCCTCTAATAATGGAGGTCAGAGTGCAGGGTCAGATACAGAGCAGGGATACAGAATGTGCACTTACAGTATAGTGCAAGCCTTCTGGTCAATACTCGTCTATCCAGCAGGCAAAAATAACTTATTAATACTTTTGCTTAGAAAGACTTAGTGCCCCGATGTCTCTCAATAGCAATCAAGCTATATATACACATTAGATGTATGTTCTAGCCCTGCTTTTTTCAAGACTCTGCTCTGTCCTTACCAGAGGCAGTCTTCAGCTCTTCCTTCAGCAATTTCTTCTCCTGTCGGAGGGTCACTAGTGCATTTCGTATCCCATCCCTCTCTCTTTCCAGCTCCTCTTTCTCTTTCAGGTAACGCTTGGCGTCCTCTTCAGCTCGCGTTTTCCCATACTTTCCATATTGGTTGGCGTCTGGGTGGAGAGAGCAAAAGGTGAGGGGTCAAATGTTCAGGGGTTATGGGAAACAGACAAAAAACATCTCACAGCGATATTTCTGCCTGTCTTTATTAATGTCATGCTCCTCACATGAGGAGAATGACGCCAATTCTACAACTCACACAAAAGCGTAGCCCACAAATTTGACATTTTTCCTAACTTTAAACAAAGATTTTTGGGAGGGAACACTTGATGTGATGCACAAATAAAAGATAAACACACACACCCCTGCAGAGGGAGAGGTCAGGAGACAAGACAGCGAATCTAATGTGAGTGTCCAATAAATCTCAAGTTACATCCTTAAGCTCTCAGCCATGGAGAGCGCTGCCTCTTTGATGTGTCAGAACGTCACATTGAAGGCCTGTGAAACAGCACTGAGAAGAGCACTGAGGCAGCCGACCACACCAATATCTCTTTCCTAAACTCAGGATACTCATCTCATTTATTCGTATGGCAGAGACCGTCTGACACAACGGATCAAATGGGAGAGGGGAGGGGAGAGGGAAGAGATTATGAATGGAAAGTGAGAAGAGAGAGGAAAAATGTAATATTGAGCTTGATAAAAGCTCCAGTTTTATGACTGTCAATGGATTGTTACACCACTGAAAGGACTGAAAGAGTGTAAGCTCCAACAAAACTAGACCATTGCAATCTAACTCCTGTGTGACAACATTATTAAGAGGGTTGCCATCTGTATTATTCTCACTGCAGGCAGCTAACCTTATTTTTTTATTTTATTTTTTTGAGAGCGACAGATGGGTAGCAGAGAGGGGCCTAAAGATGAAAAGACACAGGAGGGAAGCCTCTAAAATATTTGGTCTTAAGGTACATTATACTCCTCAGCTGTCTGGTTGGTTGTGAAACAGCTGAAATAAAAATTAAAATTGTGCAGCTCTGTTATTGATTGATCTGTCATAATGCCTTTGATACAGTATGCATCACAACATGTGCGTTACAGATTTTGGCTTGGTCAGAAATTACTTACTTAACAATTAAGTGTGTGCTGACACAGTTCAGCATGCACATTTACACTCTGAGATTATAAAGTCATTAATTTGCAAGAGAAAGGCGTGTTAGTTAGTGGGTGAATTGAACACAGCACTGGGCTCCTTTTTATTTTTACTGATTCAAAAGCTGTCTACATATCTCAACAACCTCAATAGCCTCAATAACCTGCAAACCCCACATATGCACAGTGCAGTCTGCTTTTTGAAGTCCCTATAATTAAGACCATCCTTGGGAAATCAGCTTTTAGTTTCTCTGCACCTTTCAAATAGAATAACATTCCGAAAACTTTGGACATAGCACACTAATAAGTTTCTCACAGTTTGTCTCTGTCATTGAAATACCATTTGATGTGAATGTTGTATTTGATAACTTTGCCCTTATCATCACTTAATTCTCTCTAAAACAAGGCACTTCTGCAAAAGAGAACTTTCTCTCAGTGAGTTTCTGCATAAATTAAGGTTTCAATCAACCTGTCAGTATAGTTCATGAGAAGAGACTCAGTATCCCTGGAGGTACACTTACTTGAACCTGTTCGTTTTAGGGAGACTAAAGGCTTGGTTCTGTCAGAGTCGCTGCTGGAGAAACTTGAGCGCCGCTTGCCCTGATTCCCAGACTGCTGTCTGCGGTTCTCCTCTGACTGGGTGGAGTAGAGAGGGGGTGGGGGAACATGACAGATGTGGAAGTATGCAAAAAGAAGGATGAGGACATGGGGAAAAAAAGAAGGCAACGTTTATATATTATGCTAAGCAATAAATTAACCTTCAGATTAATTAGTTTGAGATGATGGAGGTGTGTGTTTGGGGCTAGAGGTGGTGAGAGGTATTTGTTTAAGTACATGTCAGTGGGGTCAAGAAAGGAGTTTACAGGCTGTAAAACTGCCATGACCTCTTGCCTCCCTGTCACCAGATTGATCACTTTTTCTTTTTTTGGTCTGTTTTTCCTTTCTCCCATGCCCACACACTGGCCTACAAAAAGCCGTCATTGATAGACGTGCAACAGAGCGCTGTCTGTCTGTTCGGCTAACTGATATGGGGTGTCGTATTCAGACAGTGACAGTCCCCAACAGCTGCACACACACAGACATCTAGCCACATCAAAGTAAACCATTATGCATGAGGTTTAAAATTATGTGTGTGCGTCTGAGCACTTGCGTCCCACCTGCATGTCCTCATTGGGGACCTCATCATATGTTCTGGAGTCTGTGGAGGTACTGCTGGAGGATGTGACCCACCTAGGATCAGAGTAAAAGGAGAAATGAAATCTGTGTGAGGGCTAAACATCACCGCATTGGTCAGTGGCCTTTGGCCTTGCTTTGACCTCGTCTCACTCACAGGAAGGAATGCCGAGCAGCGTCGCGGATGTTTGCGATGGTTTCCACGTCAACATAGTCGTAATGCAGTGACTCTGGATCTGTCGCGGAGCCTGTCTCTGCCAAGAGGACTCCGAGCCACCTTCCAAGTTCCTCAGAGCTGCTAGCCTATATAAAATGTGATTATTAATAATAATTATTAATATAAAAGTACTGATAAGTGCAGCTTAAAAATAAAAAGAACAAATGCTCATTATTTTACCTCCAGAGCTGCCACCTCTGTGCTGTTCCGTAGGATTCGGAAGGCAAAGGGATGTTTTGGTCCCAGCCCCGGGACCACCTCACAGCCGTGCAGAGGAAGTGAAGGCAGGGAGGTCCGAGGGTCTCCTTTGTCGTGGTAGAAGTGCAGGGAGCCTCTGCACACACAGCACCACTGTTCCCGCCACACCTGATTCACCAACAACGACAGGTAGCCTACATGGTGAGAAGGAAAAAAGAAAAAGTGACACGTCTGCAAACCTGAAGAACACAACAGTGATAGTGAAGTGAGGTCTGACCTTGTCGAGGGTCGCTGTAGGATGTCCTGGGATCTTCTGGCCGAGGGGGCTTCTTCTTGGAGAAGCTGATGATACGTGTGATTTTACGGCCTGCAGCGAAAGCACCCCGTTTCACCTTGCCTACATCAAAAAATTAAGGACTAAACAGTTGCTTTGGGTCCAAATGTATCTTAAACGGTTTAAACTGAAAAGACTGTAAACAGTGGTTTGACAAACAATATCTTAACTCAAGGCCCAATTACTAGTTTTATTTTTAGAGAGCTATCAACTGCATCTTGTAGTCTTGTAGTCTAATACGTATCTGTGTTATATTGTAAGTATTTTTTAACACTCACATGTCCATCTCTGCAATCACACAATTGTCTTAAGTTGTCAATACACATGAGTCGTCCCTGCAACATCCATCCCGCATAACATGAATGCAATAGTATTGAAATTAAGCCGAATGATGACAACTGAGCAAACTCCATCCACAGCTGAAGATAAGTGCATTTGAAAAAGCATGTATCTTGGTGGACTTTGAGATAATATTCTTTTGTCAAACAGCTGCTGTATTGATTTGAGGCTGGGTGTCTCTGTCTCACCGTTCTCTCTGCAGTTCTCTGCAGTTGACACACCCACACTGTCTGAATCTGACGTGTTCCTCTCTGCAGATAACCTCTGAGGAAGAGGCACAAAAACACAGGTTTAGATTTTTCCTACACAGGATCTGTCTGTCCGCCAATATCAAACTACAGCTGGGCTTTTCTACACTTTTCTTTATGAATGAGACAAACAGTCTCATCCTCTGCCCTTTTCCCTACCACCTCATTACTGGCTCTTCTCCCTTCCTCCTGCACTTTAATATAAGGCAGTGTCTTTTGCAGTTTATGTTCTGACAGGTTGGTAACTTGTTAAAGAGGATGTGTCTGTTCCAACACTGTCTTAACACCCAATTACGCTACATATCTCCTCTTTGTTCTGCAAGCCAAATACAGGTATTACGGTGTACTATGTTGAGCCAAGCAATTGTTTAGGAAAATTGATGGTGACAACACAATTGCTGCCTGTCAACGACTTTTCCTCACCTCAGCTGTGAAGATAAATTATGTCTTGAGGATAAAAACAAACAGGGACGTGCTGACACAAACATCCTCTCTTCTACACTTACCTTATCAACTTCAGGTTTTCTTGGAAGGACGGGAGACGCAGATTCCTCAGGCCCTGCGCTCTGACCGCTCACCTCTCTAACAACCTGTGGGGATATTTTACACGTGTCACTCTCGACTGTATGGTTCCTTTTGAGATTTGTTTTTGCACTGTGATTGTCAACTAGATTGATGGCCTGTCTCCATGCCTGCATTCACAGATATAATTTCAAAGTGCAGCTTACTCTAAGCCATCTGTGGGCCTGCTCCTTGCTTTGTACAGCCAGCACCAGTGTATCTCCATTGGGTAAGGTGAACCGGAGTTCATGGTGCTTCCTCTTGCTGTCTTTGGGTGCGTAGACCGCAGTGCACTGGGGCAGCAGCAGGTCAACATAGGGGCATGTGTCCTTAGAACTCTTATAGCACTACAGAAAGGAGTACGAACACAGGATACTGTAAGATGCAAAGGAAAAGAACAATAGCAATATGTATCCTGAATGTGTGAGTGTATGCTTTCCTGAAACTTTTCACCTGTAGTCTGTTCTCCCGTATGACAGTGAGCTGTTTCGCCCACTGGCCGAATCGCTTCTTGCGTAGCAGGAAGGCACAGATGCGACAGTCCCTGGCAGGAGGCATGGAGCTCTCATCCGAGGGCCACTGATGAGTGAGTTGGACGCTGGGGCTCCTCTCTTCTTCATCCTCCTCGTAGGACTCATAGGAACTGCTCAGAGCGTCAGAGTCGTTGTCTGAGAGAGCAATGACAGAGAAGATAGCATGTTTTATTTTTTGTTATTTGTAATCTTGTTTTGGGGTAACTTTATTCTCAACTCACATGAGTTTTTGCGGCGTGAGTTTATGCAGGTAGTTGGGTAGTTGTTTTCAGCATCTTCATACCCATCCTCTATAGAGTTGGGGGGACTAGGCCTGACTGAAAATGGAAGAAAAACCCTAATTAGTCCTTATGTTCCATCATGCACTTTAATGTAACTTGTACTTTGTAATTATGGAAGGTCTGTTAGATTAAGTGCTTAGTACTGACTTAGAGGTTTTTGGAGCAAAATGACATTAAGGGCACTGAGTTCATCAGAGGTAGGAAGACGCTGACCTCGTGTAATGATATATTCGGGCATCATGCCCGGACTGAGTGGCACTGCCTCCTCATAGTAGTCCTCAGGAGGAGGCGTTGTGGGCAGAGGGGGTGGAGAGTCAGCTGAGTGCGGGGCAGGGGAGTCTGCACAGTTCTCCTGAGGGAGACACACAAAAACAAAGCTCTCAAATTTCCTCCATAACCACGAAATATTTTTTTATTCACAGCCCAGGAACTACATCATCAAAGACATACAGAGCATAACCCTCAAAATGATATCCATAAATTAGACACATGGGCTCAGGGCGTGTCTCTAAATCTTTACTCTTCCAACAGCCTGCAGATTGATGAGCATGTGTGAATGGGAAACCCCCACAACATGGAACACAATCCCTGTTTTTCCTTTCTAGATTTTGCAAAGTTGAATTTGGATAGTGAATGCTGAAAAGGACTGAAAAGTCAATGCCTTCACATGCAATTGATATTTCTGAAACGGGGATACATCAACAGTTTGTTATAAATTGTCCACATGCCTGTTTTAGAGTGTCATTTTGTGTGTTCTTGTCTTCTTTCAGATCATCTGTGACATCCTTCAGGTCCCCAAGCTCACAGTCTATAAACAAAACATACATTTAAACTCACACTCTTGTACATAAAGACAACATGGTATTTGCAGCTCATAAATATAGATAGGTTCACCCATGCACCCATGTTGAAGCTCAAACTCACCAAATGTCTCAAAGAGGGACTCTACAAAGCTGGTGCCATTTCTGTACACTGATGAGTTCATGTAGATGTAGTCCGTTCCTGAGGTGGGGAAAGAGAAAACAGACACACTTACAGCATGGTAAGAAACATTACTTTGGATCTCTGATATTTTAGGTTTAAGCTTGGGGTGGTGATGGCGCAATGGATAGGACACATGCCTTTGGTGTGAGAGACGTGGGTTCAACTCCCCACTGTAACCCATCTACAATTGTGTCCCTGAGCAAGACACTTAACCCTAGTTGCTCCAGAGGCGTGCGACCTCTGACACGTATGCAATTGTAAGTCGCTTTGGATAAATGTTAACTGCAATCTAGAGAAGTGGTTCCATTACCTCTGTCCCACAATATAGGCCTATACCTGAAATGAGTGCATTCTACATTTTTATTATGTGGAAAATCTCTCCTGGGGGTCTGAAATAAAACACAGACAAAAATCACTTCATTTGTCTTTCCTCCTCTCACTGACCTGATGGCTGTATCTGCTGCAGGAGGTTCCACACGGAGGTCTTCTTCTCCTGCGTGGAAGAGCTGAGGTTCTCCTGGTCCAGCATCTTCAGCAGGACGCCCAGCTCACTCACCAACACATCCATCGCTGCACAGAGTGGGAAGGGGGCAAAGGTCAGGGGGGCATGGGTTCAGTGTAACAGCAGAGAGGGCAAAGGTCAGACTGTCTAAACAAATCCCAAGGTGTATGTCTGCTTTGCTTTCCCTGTGTCTTTCTTTCATTTTCTGTCACAGTTTGTCAATATCAATCTGCCACCTTATCACACCTCTATCCCCTTCTCCTCTCTCGCTTACTAGCCAGACTAAACAATGAAAAAAGGCAGGAGTGACAGGAAACATGTTTGCTAATTGCTCATTAACCCAGAAGTAAAGTGGAAGTGGAGGTACCAAAAATAAGAACTCTTACACAGTATTATGCAAAGAACATCCTGCACGAGGGGCAAAGTGTTGTCTTTGTGCAGCAGCTCTGAAGTGTTGCTGGCTCAAAAGACTGACAGACATCTCAATTAACTGTCACTCTCAATGCTAATTATCCATGCTGCAAGACTGTAAAGATGTTGACAGAAATATGAGATTCTGACAAGAATAACTGAAGGACCACTTTGCACAGCCAAATGTATCAGCCAGCAGAGTTTCATTCACAGGGTCCTGATCTTTATCTAAAAGTCGTGCACTACAAGCTGGCTCAGACAAGCAGACCTCCTTCAATACACACTCTTCACAGGGCTGATGATGATGTGAGGACTCAGCTTATAGGAATATATGTTTCACATCACATGTTGATCTGAGAGGCGGGACTGGTCCACTCCCTGTTTTCAGAACAGAACTTAAATAAACTGTCTCCCTCCAACAGCTGCTGGACCTCCTGAGAACAGGTCCGCGACCTGCTGCTGTGCTTGGATTCCTCCTTTATCTGATTTTCTGCCAGAAACAAGCGAGTTGCCACCAATCAGCCGACATGACTCTCCCTTCCTTGCTATGTTCATAGCTTCTTTTGTATTCTTTCCCTCTGTATTGATGTATCCTAATGCACTTTCCCCCCCCCCTCTATAATCCTAAAATCCTCCACAGAACCTGACATCTGGCTGAGTCACTGCTGGCACACTTGTTTGCCCCCCCGCCCCCCTTTTCACAATCCAGCCACATTAGACCTGCTGAACCGTGCATCTCGCTGGGTTCAGCCACGGGACAGCCGCTGAGCCAGAAAAGCTTTTGTTCAGTGGGCAGTCATGTGGCAACAAGGCCTGATGCAGTAAACAAATACAAACACACACATACCGACATGCACAAAAAACATAAAACACACTGGAACGCTTGTATGATGTGTGTTTAATAGTGAACTTTGGCACAGGCCAGCCTGTTGTGTGTGTGTGTGTCAGTTTGAGGAGAATATTAATGAGTTCAGGCAGACTGTTGGACTATTACTCAGCAATCTTGTATGTAATCACCGCTGACAAGCAGAAAGTCTTGATAAGCTGGAGATATATCTGGTGTTTGTCGATGATGTGTGCACTACATGTGAAGCTGCTCCCACTCCTTAAAGACAGGCATACTTTCCTGAGGTGGGTCTTCCTATGGGCTTAACAATGCCCTGCCAAGGCCACAGCCAAGAGTTACAAGAGCAGTAGGTGTGTTTTTGCCTGTGTCTGTTTGTCTTCTTTCCTAGTGTGGTTTCCTTGTATTGTAATAAAAGGAAGATCGCACTCGAAGTGGGCATGAGGCATTAATCCACGGAGGGACCTGGAATGTCTCCTCATTAAGATCCGATTCACTTTGGAGAAATAAGGAAGGGGAGGAAGGGGAAGGAGGGGAAACCCATGTGAGTGGGATGTCTTGGCCTGGTGAGCGCTGTCTCTCTGCCAGAGGTTCCAGCTGTTGAGATTCTGGCTTCAGTGCACCGCTGGGCTTCCCCTAACTGAGTGGAAGACAGAACCTTATCCACAGCATGAGTCATTCTCAGCAGAGAGAAACAGAAAATGTACACCAGTCAGCACTAAATAAAATATAACACAGAAATCAAGGCGTTGCTTTCAAGGAGTTTGTGTGAATTGGGTCACAACACTCATAAAACTATTTCACTATTTCACTTGGACCAGATCTCTGAAGAGCTGATTATCCAATTTGGCGATTACAGTGTTATTCTGCTTGTGCCAAAATGAGCAAAGAGGAATTACTACGTAGTGTTTGGCATGTGAGGCACATAAGACCACCCTTAAGTCCCCAGTCATGCCTTTATTATCAACACACCACACTACTCACACTACATGGTCCCCTACATCTCTGCAGTAACTGTTATTCTGTGTGTGCTTGTGTGAGTGCGTTATGTGTGCCTTTGATGTCTTTAAAAGCCAGATAAAACAGATTTTGAGTCTAGCACCTGAGGGCAACTACACACAAGCTTGTACAAGATACGAATGCTACATAAAAAAAACAGGTTGGATATGGTTTAATTAAAGCCAGGCCAGAAGCCATGGAATATCTGGAACTACTAGAAGGAGTATTTGACTTGAGAAAATTGAGACAAAACATGATGAGGGATTATTAAAAGTTTAGAAAGCACAAAAGATGGGTGCAGGAGTGCACCATGCCGGCAGGAATGTGTTTAGCCATTCAAAGCTTTGGACACACTCAAACATTTACCTCCTCACACTAGTCTGACAATTGCTGTTAAACACTAAACACATTCCTCACTTTGTTAGTGCAAGACTCTGCAGAGTGTGTTTGTGAGTGTTTGACGAAGCAGAGAGAATAGTTTGTTTAACAGTGCAGACTCAGACCTTTAAAAGAGGCTTGAATTATCAGATTTTCTTTGAGGGAGGGAGAAGGGGGGTGGGGGTTGGGGGGTTAATAATGTCAGCGAGTTGAGCACCTGTGCTAACATGTCCAACAAACCCTGATATAAAGAATAATGTGACCTCAGTCGGGTGCACGCTTTTTTTTTTTGACTCCCTCCTTTCATGCCAAAGGCTTTCTTCATACTGAGCTTACTTATCTTGCCACACATCACTCACTCACACACACACACACACACACACACACACACACATAACTTCACAGTATGTCGAAAGTGACAAAATTCAGTCATTTGGCAGCAACCTCGTTTCACAATATTGTTGCAGGCAGGCGTTCCAGCTAATCACACAAGAATTTGCAACCCACAAAGAGTCTCTAGTGACTCAAAAATTGCAGTGTTTCACTATTGAGTCTGGGTGGCAAACTGTTGCTTTCTCAACACTTCAACATTACTGCCTTTCTTGGCATTTCAGCAAGCTGGCATGATGCTTAAAGCGTAGAGTAAACATCACCTGATGCTAGCATTCAGTCTCATGCTAACAACACCTTTACTGCTTCACAGTGTTCCATATTTTAACATATCTTTACAAACCCTCACACCTTCTTTAGCTTTAGATTCCTGCCTATATTGACAAGCTATAAAGACCTTCCAAAGACACTTACCCTCGACAGCAGTGGATGAGAGTCCCACCATTTTCCAAGGTTAGGAAACCGGTTAATTCATATACATGCAGATACTGTAGGAGATATTCCAGAGTCTGTGCCTCCCTGTGTGCGCTGTCCTGTGAAGTCTTTGTAGTGGAGGTGAGCTAAAGTCGGCCTACTACTGAATTCACGCTTCCTTTACCTCTCCCTTCCTCCTTCTGATCTGTTATCTCCCTACCTCCCTCCCACCAGTCTCCCCTCCTCTCTTTTCTTTTTGGGGGGATGGGGGTGCTCTGTGTGTGTGTGTAGCCCTATTGTATCCCCCTCCCCTGTAATCCTTGGGATCGTATAGCACCTGGGAAAGACTTGCTGTTTAAACACACACAACGACTAATAGCTAACTCACATTCTTTATTTTTTCCACATTCTTTCCTTCAATACATTATTAACCTTTAACTAGTTGCACATAAAGGCTGCCATCCAGATGATGCCAGTGACATACCAGATACAGTTAAGGCATTGTACTACAACTTTATGAGAGAGCATCTTCAACACTGTTACTCACTGTTAAAGACACAAGTGAAATGTTCCCAGTGAAGCTGATGCTGCAAGTGGTAATTGCTACATTTTAAATGTATTCATTTGAAAATATAACGTAAAAGATACAGACGAGATTGAGTAAAGGCTGTGGACCGGAGGTAGAGGCAAGTTGAGACTTTTCAGAGTTACACGTGGATGACTTGTTGCCTTGAGGCAGACGCATGTGCCCCAACACGATGCAACACGCTGCCTTCAATCACACGGGCACTAACACTACACAAACAAACACACACGAACAAAACACACTGCTTAGTGTAGGCTTTTACTGCAAATCAGTTGCAGAATGAAAACAGTGTCAGCTGGCTATAGGGCTGCCTGGTGCACAAGACTGAACAATCACTGTGATATTAGATTGATACCAGCATGTAAAATATGATATCACCTGTTGTTTTGAATCTTGGTATGACCCCTTTTGACAAGGGGTACATGAACTTTGCCTAAAAGTCTAGGAATTCAATACCAACTTTTGGTACTTGAAAGTGTTCTGATACTTGATGTGGTTTGGTCAGCACCAAATACTTAGTGAGGTTTGAGACCTACTACCACCAAAACGGCTTATAAATGACTTAAAAAACTATAAAAACTCTTAGAAAAGAGACAACAGATACCTGTAATCTTGGTGAAGAACATAGCAGAAATACTACTAGACAATAAGTGACAGACAACGAATAATATAACTAGCCATACTGTGCACATATATTGTAGACAGAGGATTTAAACATTGAAATTTACACTCCCAAGGATGACAGTGTTGCTTAATTAAGTAGACAGGAAGTCCTCCTACCATCGAATTTGTGACACACCTAAGAGCTTCCCTGAGTGTTTCCCAACCTTTCCACAATCCTCTCATGACAAATACCATAGACACAGCCTGCTAGACTTGATTATGGCCAAACCGCTCCTCACTGTGACTAAATGTGAACTCTGACCTCCTCAGTAAAGCTGTGAACTCACACAGGACGTGGATGACAGAGGAGGGACGGGAAAAGCACAAAATGTTGTGAAAAAGCACATCTCTTTTCTTCACATTACAACTGGGTACTATAGCTG